AAAAAAAAAAAAAAAAAAAAAAAGAAAGTGCACGTCGTTGAAATAGGTAGTGATTTTCAACTCTTTTAAGCTCTTCTTATCCATTTTTTCTTAGCATCGCTCTTATTTCTCGGTTCAAGAAAGGAAATGTTCTAAATAGACACATGTTTGGTAATACTTTTGTGTTTTTGGAATATATATAATCTCTTTATTTCTTTCTTATAATTTAATACAAAATTTTATGCTTAAAGGTTGAGTCCTTATCACAAAATCTATGAAACAAACAAATCATTTAGATTACAAACTTTTTCTATATATAATAATTATAAAAAAAAAACATTGTATATTAAAAAAAGAACATTTATAAAATATTTTATTTCACTCCCGAGCTTCCTACTCAATTTAAAGATCAGTTTACATATAATTTCGGTAAGCTAGGAGTTTCTTTAATTGATCAACCAAAAAAGATCACTTTATTGGTATATGTAGCAATAGAGATGTCTACGAGACGTGGTAAGCACAATGAAGCGCTATTTCAGTTTTTATACCCGTAAGTATTTCAAATCTTTGTGGGAATTTTTGTCAAGAATTTTCCGTGGAATTTTTTGAAAAAATTATTTTTCAAAGATTTTTTAATAAATAATTTTTTTAAAAAAAATATATAGAACATCTTAATAAATCCAATAATATAGATAAAATTATAAATTACAAGTAAATTCTTAGATATAACTGTACAAGCTCACCATTGTCCTATTACAACTTTTCCTTTCAGATTTCTCCAAATTTTGAAACGTGTCTCTTCTATAGAGGTTTCTACACTCTTGTAAAAAATGTTTCATTTTCTTCCCGAACCAAATTGAGATCTCATAAATTATAAAAATAAATAAATAAATAAATAAAAACTCAAATGCTCAAAACCCTAATTATGAACTTCCACACACTTAATCTATGATTGAGATCAAAATAATATAGTAATCAATCTCTTCTTTTCATCAATATTCTAATGCTTCTTCTTTTGAGCTTTTATGAACATTTGTCACTCCATGACTATACACCTCTTTCACTTTTACCCTTTATTTTTTTTTTACAACGAAAAAGACATTAATTATATCTTAAGTAACCGTTCAAGTTTACTCTAATATTGTCCGTTTTAGCTCATTACGTATCGCCGTCAGCTTCACGATTTTAACATGTGTTTATTAGGAAGAAGTTTTCATACCCACACCCTTGTAAGAAATGATTTGTTCCCTCTCTCATCGACATCAGATCTCACAATCCATCTCCCTTGGGCGACACACCATCCATACTCTGATACCATTTGTAACATCCTATATCGGTAGAAGATGGAAACAAAGCATTCCTTTTAAGGGTGTGGAAACCTCTCCTTAATAGACGCGTTTTAAAACTGTGAGGCTGACGACGATACATAACGAAATAAAACGGACAATGTCTACTAGCATGAGCTGTTACATCTTTAATTTTATGTTTTTTTTAATGAAATTGTTTGCCTTGTCTTAAAAGAACAAAAGAACAAAACATGTTATTATGTTGTTAAAATAGTTTAGAATTTAAGAAGAAAAAAGGGTTTGCAAAGGACATGAGAGAAATTGAGAAGTTGGAATCTTTGAACCAATATTTGAGGTTCACTACAAAACAATAAGATGAAGACAAATTGAAGGAGAGGTTAAAAGAGGAATCTTCTTTTAACAATTGTTGTAAGAAAAAGAAACCCTAATAGTTTCTTTGAGAATTGAGGCTTGTCTTCTTTTATGAAAGATTAACCCTTTTTCAATATCTCATCTTCAAATCAATTCATCACATGCTACATACAACAAAATACAACCATTTTTTTAAACTTCAAAATTAGGGTACGGTTAGATCTCGAATCTTTCTAATGTATGTATAAAATTTAGATCGGAATTTAGAATCTGGGTTCAACTGTGAGATCTCACATTGGTTGGGGAGGAGAACGAAACACTCTTTCATAAGGGTGTGAAAACCTTCCCCTAACTGTGAGATCTCACATCGGTGGGCTTGTGCTATTACAGTTGGTATCAGACACCGGGCGATGTGCCAACAATGAGGTTGTTCCTTGAACGGGGTAGACACAAGGTGGTGCGCTAGTAAGGACGTTGGACATCGAAGGGGGGTGGATTTGGGTGGTGGTCCCACATTGATTGGAGAAAGGAACGAGTGTCAGCGAGGATGTTGGACCTTGAAGGGGGGTGAATTGTGAGATCTCACGTCGGTTGGGGAAGAGAACGAAACACCTTTTATAAGGAATGCGTTTTTAAAACCCTAAGGGGAAGCCCGAAAGAGCTCAAAGAGGACAATATTTGCTAGCGGTGAGCTTAGACCATTACATCAACACATGATGGTCCCGACATGATTACATTGTTTACTTATCTTGGATTATTTTTAAGAGTGAAGGTTATCTCCTACGCATGACTATGTTATGTCAGTTGCTTGTCTTTCACTACTTTTAATAGTGAAGATTATACCGTGTAATATGACCACATTACCTACTTGTCTTGAACAGCTTCCAAGTTATTTTAGTATATTTTTCCTCACATTGCATATTTTACAAGAAAATTTATACCTGGTCACCCAACATAAAATTGTTCCAAGACAAATATGCTTGAGTATCTGTTCTTATAATTTGATCCCCTAAAAAGAATATCCAGCTTGTTAGAATAGATAGTAACTATATCAATTATCAATTCATGCTCTCCACCTTTACTTACGGTCACATTCAGCATGTATTAAAGAAAATATAATTTCGTCGTTTCCTATATTTTTAGGGTAAAGTAACTCAAAGTGGACGTTTTTTTTTTTTTTTTTTTTTTTTAGAATAAGGTAGAAATGATATCAGTTATAAAAGCCATGAGTTCGATTATCCATTTATTAGGTTGAGTTAATTTCAAATAATAAAAAAATTATAGTTTTCGACATTAATTTGAATTGAACTAAACTAACTTGAATTTATATCTCTCAACCGGACCCGACCTAACTCAACACATAAAAACTCCTACTTCAAACATTTGAACCATCTTCGAATTAGGCACCGAGCGGTGTTGTAATGGTCCAAGCCCACCCCCCTCCAGACTTTAAAACACATTTGTGTCTGTTAGAGAGAAGTTTCCACACCGTTCAAAGAGTGTTTTGTTCTCCCTCCCCAACCAATATGGGACATCAGAGGTGTGCAAAGACTTTCAAATGGGGTGTATTATGAGATCTCACATCAATCAGAGAAGAAAAGAAAGCATGAAAATCTCTTTCTAATAGACTCATGTTAAAACTGAACAAAAACAATATCTACTAGCTATGAGCTTAAACGGTTTGAGATTCAATAACAACTCAAAAAGCAAGTCGAAATCTGGTAAAAATTTCAACCCATCTATGAATGACAATGATTCTAAGATCAGAAAAGGTACCAAAAAAAAAATTAATTGTTTTAGAGATGTTCTTTGAATCTTGAATATTAAAAAAAAGTGCTTCAAATTTCAATTCAATGTCCTTTTTTGAAGCATGGAGAGTTGCAGAAAAAGAGCTGAGCACTTCTAAAACTGCCCATGCACTCGAGGACACAACTTTCTGCTACCAAACTCATCTTTCAAACCCCTCTGCTTTTCTCACATCTTCTCAACTCATTGGTCATCATAAATCTTTTAACCTTTTTCAATCTTAGATCAGAAAAAGCATTACTTTTTAACAAGAACTTGAAGAACAGAGCTCAAAACCCAGATGAAATTCTTCAAAGATTCAACATAAACAACAGAGATTCCATTAGTTAGAACAAGATTACAATCTAAACCCATAAACAAAAACTTCAGTTCATCACTGATTCTTCTTCGATTCTACAAAGCAACTGATGCAGAGCAGATGCAATTTCATCAACAGAATTCAGCTTGCAATCATCTTCAACCTGCAATGAATGCATTCCAAAAGCCTTTTTCAAATGAAAAAACTGATTACCCATTTCAGTAAAAGAGCTCAAGAACTGACCTTCACGCTTAGACAGTAAAGAACAATTTGGTTTATGGTAGAGATATTGAGATGAAGAACAGAGAGGCAAAGAGAATGCAAGCCAGCAACGATTTTCAAGGCCTGTTTTGGCCTTCTCTTTGATCTGATTTTCAAATTTGCATGATTTTCCACCATTGTTACTTCAATATCAGCAATGGAAGAACATTGGGTTTCGTTTTCACCCAATGAACAACAACCCTCCATTGATTTGAACTGAGGGAAGGTGAAAAACTCAGAAAAAGGGGGTTTTGATGAAGAACAACCCTTTGTTTTTATTTCCATTGTTGATAGAACTTGAACTTGTTGCTCAAGCTCCTTCACAAAATTAATAGCTCCCCCAATAATTGAAGCCTGATCCCCCTGAAAACAACAACAAAAAAACCCATTTAATTTCTGTTTGGAAGAAGGAAAATGAAGAACAGAGGAAGAGAGAGATACCCTTTGAACATAAGACTCTGGCATTAAGGATCTAAGAACAGAGAGATACTCATTCATCTGTTTTCGTCGATTTCGCTCAACGGCGATGTGGGTCATTCTCTGATTTTCGATATCTTCCTTGTTCTTGCGGGATTTGGGTCGTCGTTTTCTGGGTCGAATTGGGTTTGGAGTTCTTGATTCAGCCTCCAATGGCGGATTTCTGGAAATGGCAGGTTCTTCAGGGGAAGGAATAGGAAGAAAAACAGAGGAGGATGAGTTCCAATCTTCAAAAGGGAAATTTTCTGTTTGTTTCTCGGGAAAATCATGAGGGATTTGAGGAAATTGAAAGCTCCCATTTGTCCAAATCCCTCCACCAAACGAGGTGTAAAGATCTTGAGAAAAAACCACAGCTTCTAATGCCATTTTCCTTTTGTTTGTTCTTAGTTTGAATCTAAATGAGTGCTTTTTGAGGGAAACCCATATGAAAAAAAGCTCAAAAAAGCTCAAAAAGGGGAGAAAAATGGTGGGTTTTGGAATTGGGAGCAGAAAAATGGGGTTTTTAAAGGGGTTTATGATGAAGAAGGAAGCAAATCTACAGAATATTGCACGTGAAGGAGGAAAAAAAAGAAGATAAATAAATTATACTTTAAAAAACAAACAAAATAAGACATGATCAAAACAATATTCCATATCACACATGAGGCTTGCAATCCAAAGAAACACACCCATCTCATTCTTGTGACCCACAAGTCATTTCATTGCAATTCTTTTGAAAATGATGCTAATAATAATTTAGAAAAAGAAATTTGATAAAATGAATGTGAGTTTAATTCAAGCCATTCCGATGAGGTTTTTGTTTTGTAATTTGTTGATGATTATATCATGTCATTGTCACGTTCCGTCAAAATTGTTTTTAATCGTAAAGTAGGTGATTTCGGAGGAATTAACAACTCGATTTGGTCTTGTTTATATGACACTCGGGTAAAGGAGTACATTAATGAACAAATATTGTATCTAAATGAGAGTGATTCTTATTATCTAGATCAACCCGATGCATTTTTCTTTTCGATGGCTTAATCAAAAAAGCTCCAAAACTAAACTAACCATGTTCGACTGAGCAATCCTACGCTGATGCTGAGTGACTTCTAGAAATTTTTATGAGAATAAAACATGCTAAAAGAACCAAAATTGGTTTGTGGGAAAGTTTTCATTCTTATAAGCAAATCGAGACACGTAGTAGTTTGGTCGTGTTAAAGAGAAATGTCGGGACTATCAGGTTTTCGTTTAATTTTATTCTAAGCTTAGTAAACTCTCGAGCCTCTACAATATAATTGAACGAATTAAATGGAATGAAAATGCAAAACTTTTGGGAGTTAAAAGTGGGTGGGGAATATCTTGATGGTGAAAAAAGTGGGAAAATTAGGTGCCCAACATCATAATTGATCATATTTTTGTCACAAACATTTTAAATTTATAAAGTAATGAAAAGCTACCACTCCAAAATAAAAGTTCTTAATTTTCTCCCTTGCACAAAATAATAATAATAATAATAATAATAATAATTGAATTTTCGACCGCTAAGTAGTCAGATGTCCTCTTCCCGTAAGTTATATATGTATATGATCAATTTGATATAACTCAACTAGTTAAAATGTTGATCATCGACCAAAAATAATTGAATTTTCGACCGCTAAGTAGTCAGATGTCCTCTTCCCGTAAGTTATATATGCATATGATCAATTTGATATAACTCAACTAGTTAGAATTTTTGTGTTGCATAATAATTTCGTTGAGAAACCCTAAATTTGGATCCTTTAAAGTCAAGGGAACAAAGACCGACTTTTATTAACCATTTAGTTTTTTTTATTGGAAATTATGATTTATTTACTATAGTTGAAAAAAAAAAACTCAATTAGTGGAAGTAGGGCTTACAAGCTCGGATCCGGATTCGACATCTAATAATCGACATGGCCACAAGTGAAAATTATCTCCATAAACCAACACAAGTCCTTATAACATGTTTTGTTCTTACTCAAATGTATTGTAGAACAAAATTTAGGAGGTCACGTGTAACAGCCCAAGCTCACGACTAGCAGATATTGTCTGCTTTGACTCGTTACATATCGTCGTCAGCCTCACGATTTTAAAACGACTTGGGCTGTTACAAATGGTATCAGAGTCAAACAACGGACAGTGTGCCAGCGAATACACTGAACCCTAAAAGGGGTGGATAGTGAGATCCTATACTGGTTGAAGAGGAAAACAAAACATTCCTTATAAGGGTACGAAAATGTCTCTCTAACGTGTTTTAACTTTGAGGCTAACGACGGTGTGTAACGTGCCAAAGCAGGCAATACTTACTAGACGTGGGCTTGGGTTGTTACATCACTCAACATAGAATTGCTCTAAGTAAAACACATTTAACCATGAAGTTCTTATGATTGAGTCATCTAAAAAGAAAGGTGCACCTTGGTGGTATTGACAATAACTTTCAATTCTTTTAACATCTTCTTAATCATCCAGGATCGCTCTCATTCGAATATAATTTCAGTTCATTCATGTACCTCTCATTTATTCACGTGTCACAACTACTCAAGTACTTATCAAAACATCGAAACCCTAACCACTGCTCAAGATCTGATCAAAACATCAAAACCCTAAACACTACTCGGGATCTGATCAAAACATCGAAACCCTAAACACTACTCGGAATTTGATCAAAACATCGAAACCCTAAACACTACTCGAAAGGATTATAAAGAATGTGAGGCAAACATTCCCAAATTCACAAGCATATAAAAGTCAAAACTTTGAATTGTGTATAAGATGGAGGGCATGTGGAAGGCAAAGGCAACAGTAATGGCATGGTGATTTGGAAATAATGTTACTGCATGGTACGACCTCTGAACAGAGATGATAGATGGTAAAAGCCTGCCATTTTGCTTACACAACTTCTGAAAGATACACTGCCCATTTGCTTAAACAAGCTCCTGCTTTTGCCTCTCTCTCTCTCCAACACAGAAAAGAAGTTAAGAAGCTTTGTGAGTTTCCATGAGATCACACACACCCACAAAGTTTCATAGCTTTTACCTACATTTGTCAGAACCTCTGTGTCATCCTTTCAGCTACCACAAACCCTCTCATTCTATGATTCAAGGGGACAACAAAAACTTTAATTATGCCATCAACTTTTAAGTTTGTGTCGAATTAATTGGAGAGAGCTTTAAGAAGTGTTCGAAAGATTCATAATATTCGGTCTTTTTTTTGTTAAGTGTTTTTTGTAAGATCCCATATCGGTTGTGGAGAAGAACCAAACATTTTTTTTAAGGGGAGGAGATGCGTTTTAAAAAACCTAGAGGTGAAGCTCGAAAGAGAAAACCCAAACATGACAATATCTGCTCGCGGTGAGCTTGAATTATTACAAATGGTATCACAGCTGGACACTAGGTGATGTGCCACATGAACGTGGGACTCCCTAATCCACCCCCATTCAGAGCTCATGTAGTGAGTGCAATATTACCTCGGTCCCACATCGATTGGAGAAGGGAACGAGTGTCAGTGAGAATGGTGGGCCCTGAAGGGAGGTGGGTTGTGAGATCCCACATTGGTTGGGGAGGAGAACAAAACTTTCTTTATAAGATGTAGAAACCTCTCCCTAGCACGCGTTTTTAAAATCTTGTGGAGAAGTCTGAAGAGGAAAATATCTACTAACGATGGGCTTGGGCGGTTATAAATGGAATCAGAGCTAGACATCGAACAACGTGTCAGCGATGAGGCTGAGCCTCGAAGGAGGGTGGATACGAGGCGATGTACCAACAAGGACGCTAGGCTCCAAAAGGGGGTGGATTAGGGAGTCCCATGTTGATTGGAGAAGGGAATAAATGTCAACGAGGACCCTAGCCCGGAAGGGGGTGGATTGTGAGGGAGAAGGAGAACAAAACATTCTTTATAAAGGTGTAGAAATCTCTCCCTATCATATGTATTTTAAAAATTTTATGGGAAAGCTAGTAAAGAAAAATCCAAAGAGGACAATATCTACTCGGGTCCGCTATCAGAAGTTACATTTTTTAAAATAGTTTCAAAATTTAATTCAATTTTTTTTAAAAAGGACGTTTTTTAAACTTGTTTTAAAAAAAATGTGTTATCAAATGAAATTGATTGACTTTTTCGAAATAAACATTTTTTTTTTCTCTTTTCCCCTCTCATGGTCGCTCCCCTTATACTCTCTCACATTCTCATGCCCTCCAAACATACATGTTCATGTTGCAGGTCTCAAAAAACATCAAACGTCCGGAATCGTCAATTGTCACTACTATCTTGCAACGACATATAACTAGTGGGTCATGCATCAGTAAGTCGTTGAGATCGATGTAATACCACACTCACTACAACACCACATGAAGTTGTCGCTCATTGATCAGAGTTGAAAAGTGTGATCACCAAAAGAAGAAGACACAAGACAATGACTAAACACGAGAGAGGGAGGAAGAAAAGACAGTCAAGGTTACACACATCGAGAGTAAGAACGAGATGAGGTCAAAAAAATTATTAAGAAATGTTCAAAAAAGAGTCAGAGAAAAAACTAAATCAAATCTGATTCGAGTACAACATTTTAGGTCATTCTCTCAAAATGTTCGAGAATTTTACACCTCGAGTGCATTGAACGGGATTAAATGAAGAACAAAAGGGTTCGAGTTTGAAAGGGGTTTGAGATTGAATGAGAGATGAAATGGAAACAAAATTATTGAGATTTTGTTGTTGGGGAGTGAGGTGTAAATCAAAGACCAATCTCACCATTTCTACTCTATGTTTGTAGGCTTTGTCTCTTTGTGTTTGCAATTTAACGTAGAAGACACACACAATTCACAATTCATGAGAGGATTTGTCTGTCCCTTTTTGCTTAATCATTGAACATATGAACCCTACATGCAATGCCCACAACACATTATAAATATATATATTATTCTTTTCATTCCAATCATTTGTGTTCTCTCTTTCTTATTAAATTCAACATTTGTTCTATCTCAATTAATGGAAATTGAGAATCAAACCATGATTGTTTTTATACAAAATCATCACAAACAAAAGGAATAACATTTGATTCTTACTATCATTGATTGGGTAATTGGGTAATGATTTCTTCGTCTATTGATTAAGAATACGCGTTTGTTCACGAGCTTAACTGAAGATTGATTTCTGCTCCTTAGAGACGAAAAGATTCGTAGTATATAGTGACATGATTTGGCTTATGCTTTTTGCCCGTCAATAGATTGCGAGTGTGTCACAACTCAAGTCCACCGCTAGTAGATATTATCCGCTTTGACTTGTTACATATTGTCATCAACCTCACAGCTTTAAAACGCGTCTACTAGGGAGAGGTTTTCACATCCTTGTAAAGGAATACTTAGCTCCCCTCTCGAACCGATGTGGGATCTCACAATTCACTCTCCTTGGAGGCCCAACGTCCTTGTTGGGACACCGTCTAGTGTTTGACTCTGATATCATTGTGGAATTAGTGGTCTTTGACCTAAAGATTTGGAGGCATTGTTTATACAAAAAGAAAACTTTTCACACCCTTATAAAGGAATAATTAGCTCCCATCTATAACCGAT